GGGGATGGCGAGGCCAGCCAGTGCCCGGTGGGGAGGTCCCCACTGCAGTGGGAGGGGGGCACGGGGCACCGTCATGCTGTCAGGTTGTGGGCAGACTTGGAGGCGCCCTGGGCCCTCTGGATGACGGCCGGGCACTTCTCCCGCCGCAGCAGCTTGTTGTTCTCGAAGAAGCCCTCGTTACGGGGCACCCCGTGGGAGCCGTCGGGAAAGGTCAGGAGACCTGGGGAGGGGAGGGAAGGGCCAGGAGTGACGGGGCAGGGAGCAGCACGCACCAGGACCGGGGCCGGGGCTAGAGGGATGGAGCGGGAGATGCCGGACAGGGGTGTGCTGAGCTGGGGCCACGTGGGGCTGCGGCTGCCCACACCGTGCCGCCGGGCACTCACCAAAGCCGTACACACGCCCGCCTTTGAACTCGCCCTCAAAGGTCATGTTGTCGCAGCGGGTGAAGACGCCGACGCCGTTGAACTTGCCCTGCACAAACTCCCCCTCGTACCTGTGCGGGAGGAGCTCCTGAGGCAGCGGCTCCCTGTGGCAAGCAGGGATGCCCGGGGGGACATACATGGGGGTGCCACGCTCACCTGGAGCCGTCGGGGAAGGTGAGCATGCCGCAGCCGTGGAAGAGCCCATTCTCGAAGTGCCCCACGTAAGCGGTGCCGTCGGCAAATGTCAGCTGCCCAACGCCATGCCTGCGACCTAGGCGAGGGCAGAAACGGGCAGTGCTGGACGGATGGAGGCAGGACGTGCCCCAGCGAGGTGCTGGGCAGGGACGCAGGGGCTACTCGGCCCCTGGCGCAGGCAGCACCATCCCCTTCTGCCCCATCTCACCTTCCTTCCACTCGCCACGGTACTCCTCCCCGTTGGAGTAGGTGAAGGAGCCTTTGGTGAGGGTCATGGTGACAGCCTCCGGCAGTGCAGGGCAAGAGCTGGCAGGGAGAGGCACAGAGGGTGGCTGCTGGGTGGGGGGAACAACCCGGCTCACCCAGAGCCCCCGCGTCCCCTCGGCTCGCGCGTCTGCCCTGGGGATGGCTCTGCTAGGGCATGCAACAGATGAGGAGGTGACCCCAGTAGCTTAGCTGCCCTGCCCTGCCTCTGAAACCCCAGCCGCCAGGTTCGGGTTGCTGCCCTCCCCGCTGCAGGGCTCAGGGCGATGTGAGCCCACGGGGGTCACAGCACTGTAAAACACACGTGAGCGGCAGGAAGAGGAGCCCGGCAGGAGCTGGCTGGCTCCGGCACGGCTGCCCGGCAGGACCTGAGGGGGTCCTGCACCGCAGCAGGCTCAGGCCAGGGGCTGCCTCCGGCTCTCCATTTGGGGAGGAGACGCTTGTGAGGTTGTGCTCGATGCCAGCTCTTCAGGGGAGGGAGCAGAGAGCTTGTGGGGTGTCCAGCTCCAGCGTGGAAGACGGGCAGACCTGGCTCACCCCCCAGGGATGGAGGGGCTGCTCCTCCTAAGAGGGACAGCCCTGGGGCTCCAGGGCCTTGCTCAGCCACCGAGGGTTTGCAAACCTGCCTGCTGACAGCAAGCAGCCCCCAGAGCCCTGCACACCCCCAGAGTCGCTGCTGCACTGCACAGCTCTCCCCAGCACCCAGGGAAGGCACCAACATGGAGCTGGCCCTGCAGGCGGACTGGGTGCTGCCTCTCCGGTGGCTCCCGGTGCAGCTCAGGCGGTGCCTGTGATGGGAAGGGGCTCCCCGCTTCAAAAGGGGGTACCCCTGCTCGCACCGGTCTGCGCATCCCTGGAGAGATGGGTGCTGAGCCATGCTAACTGTGCAGACACGGGGCCCGGGAGCACCGCAGGGAACTCGCAAGGGCTTTGTGTCCAGAGGAGAAATGGCCCCCAGCCAAGCCAAGCAGCAACTGAACAGTGCTCTCTGCTGATGGCAGAGACCAGGAGCTCAGCGCCGGCTCCCCAGCCTGCAGCCTGCCCAGCACCTCTGGGGATACCTCCGGCAGTGCCAGGAGGAGGAGAGGGTGCTGCCACGGGGCCGTTAGTGCCTGCCGCAGGGGAGCCACAGGCAGCCTGTGCCTGGTGACTTAATCCGGGGAACAGGCAGCGGTTGCCCCATGAGCAACCCAGC